AATGGGGCTGCCACTGATCAACCCAGGGTCTGCGTATGCTGTCCCCAGCAAAAAATTAGGAAGATGGCACAGTACTGGGTAGTGTTTTTGGGTTTTTTGTGTGTGCATAGGGTCACTATTAGTCAGAACCAGCCTGAAGCACAACATACCTCTTGTAACAGTGTTCTATGAGTAGGTTAAACAACACAGTCATTCTTGCCTTATATGTCAGCTAATGTTCATTTAAACGTTCTCCTTAGCATTTTGTTTGATACTTCTGTAAGCCTCTGGACTTGTCTTATTACTTCTGACTGTAAATTGTCTATAGGTGGCGCCTGTGGATATAGCTCCCTTATGCTGGTGCTTTCACTCCTATGTGTTCATTATTGTTGCCTTTAGGTCTGACTTGTATTTGTCTCCCACAAATTTATATATATGCCCTGGTGACTTTATGTGCTCTCTTCATTTAACTTGCCTGGTAAGTTTGAGCTCTGTTTCAATTAAGCCTGTATACTACTATAGATCATCACTGCACTTGCTTCTCCTCCAGTTCTTCCCATTGCTCTTCCTCTTTCTCTCTCTGGCTATTATTGATTGATAACTTGTTTTGTGTCAGTCAAATACAAACCTCTATGAATTTATTGCTAGCTTTATTATAATACAATATGTGATACTTCCCCAGAAAAAATGAGCTCTTGGTGGATATTTTCAATTGTTAAAAATGATTGTTTCTAACTGGTGAATGATACTAATATTGTCAGTTTTTCATTCTTAATGTGGAAATCCAACTACTGGTAACTGTAAAACATCTAACTAGTTGTCGTCTAACACTTTTTAATGTACTAATAAATGTAAATGAAGCATAAAGGATAAAGTCTCTGAAATGACTACTTAGTCTATCTAGGATTTAAACTTAAAGGTTTTCATCTTTTCTTATTATAATAATAAATTTTCAATTAATATGGAGTCCTGGTGTGGCGCTGTGGGTTAATGCATCAGACTGCAAAGCCATTTGAACTGTAAGGTCTGTGGTTCAAGCTCACCAACTGCTCCTAAGAAACTCTATACAGGGTCGCTATGGGTCGGAACTGACTCTACAGCACTTCACAACAACAACGTGCTGTATTTAAGGAGCTCTGGTAGCATAGTGGTTACGAATCAGGCTGCGAACCTTAAGGTCAGCAGTTCAAAATTACCAGCCTCTCTGCAGGAGAAAGATGAGGCTTTTTGCTCCAATAAAGATTTACAACCTCGGAAACCCTGTACAGGGTCGCTATGAGTCAGAATTGACTCCACAGCACATAACCATCACCACCACCATGTTATATTTAAGGACCCCTGGTAGAATAGTTTATGAGTTCTGCAGCTAACTGTGAGATCACCAGTTCAAAACTACCAGTTGCTCTGTGGGTCACTATGATTTGGAACGGATAACAACAACAGCATACTAGTTACAAAATTAGTATTTCAATGACTGACAGCAATTATTATTAAAAGGGAATATATATACATACATATTGAACTACAAGGTCAGTGGTTCAAGCTCACCAGTTGCTCCTTGGAAACCCTATACAGGGTCGCTATGGGTCGGAACTGACTTGATGGCACATAACAACAACAACAATATATATACACATTGTGTTGTGAAGTGCCGTCAAGTCAGTTCTGACCCATAATAACCCTGTATAGGGTTTCTGAGGAGCAGCTAGTGAGCTTGAATTGC